CTGGGGCAGAACGAGGGGCTCGTCCCCTGGCAGGACCCCCAGGGATCTCTCAGTCCCACCAGCCCCTGCCCTCGTCCCAGATGGGGCCATGGGAGCCAGGCAGTGGCTGCGATGTCCCCGAGGCCCCCGGTGTGGGGATCAGACCGTCTCCCCTGAGCTCCAGACCCTTCCCAGCCTGCCCCTCCCCCACTGTCACTGAACCTTCAGGGCCCCCGTCTCCCCCCAGGAACCCCTGTTCTCACAGAGCTTTTCTTCCTGGACGTCGGCAGCTGGGCTGGACCTGGGGGAGGACACGGGGTGTGAGGGGCGGTGAGGGGGCCGCGGGCGGGTGGAGTCTGGGGTCTTGGGGCAGAATTACCTCTCGCGCAGGCCTGTGTCCTTGGGCTCTGGCTCCGCAGCCCCCGCAGGACGCGGGAGGTCAGCCTCCCTCTGGGCTGGGAGAACATGCACAGTCTCAGCCCCGGGCAGGTCGGAACCCCCCGCCCTGCGCGTGCAGCCGGAGAGGAAAGGGGGAACCTGGAGACCCTCCTGCATAGACGCTGCACAGCCTGCGCGAGGCAGAGAAAGCTCAGCGAACGCTGACACTTGCGCACGTGCCGACGCTGCGAGCTGCTTTCCTGCGGGTTCTGACTGGAAACTGCGGGAGCAGGTTCTCCGAGCTGACTTTGCCCGTCTGTCTGCTCTCCCTGTGGCTGGTGCCCGAGCCCACCCTCGGTTGCCCCTGCGTCCCCCACTCCCCGCTCACCCGATGACCTGTGTTTGCTCCAACGCCGGTGTCGGAGGAGGAGGAAGAGGAGGAAGAAGAGCAGGAGGACGAAGGCCACCGACACTCCGATCAGAACCTCCAGGAACCTTCCCGGACCTTGAGCACAAGTGACGTCAGGAGTGAGGAATGACGTCATCAACTGAGCACCTACTGTGTGCAGGCAGGGGCCGGGTCTCTGCATCCATCACCTCCAGCCCTCACCAGACGTGCAACTTGGGATCGCCCCCACCCCCACCCATTTCACAGTGGAGGAAACAGGCCCAGAGAGGTGAGCCCCTTGCCCCAGGGTGCCCAGCCAGGAGGCAGCAGAGCTGGAAAGTGACCCCGGGGAGGTGACTTTCAGCCGTTCCCTCTTCCAGACCTGACCCGAGGCGAAGGGACAGAGCCTGCACGCCCCGCAGCCCTGCTCCCCTCCCTGCACAGCGTGGCCGTTGTGGCAGCGGGTGGGACAGGCCACTGCAGGAGGGGGTCCTGCAGGCTTCCCTGGGAGGCTTCCTCTCCCAGGAGGCCGCAGCAGAAGCCAGAACTGGAGGGAGCTTCACCCTCGGGGCCGGGCCTCTCCCCTTTACACTTAGAGAAACTGAGGCCCAGACA